ATGCTGCAATGAGAAAAGGGCACGATCAGTCCAGAGCTGCAGGAGCTGCAGCCATGCCAAGTCCTGCGTGATCCAAGGTCAACCTTGCCTCCTCTTGCACACAAGCGGGGTGTGTGCGTCTTCTCTTACCTGCTCGGTCCCTGTCGATATGGAAACAACCCTTTGTTGGGCCGTGCAGCTCGCAGTAGTACCGGATGTTGCCTCCATTTTTGCTTCCCCTGAGCCCCCATTCTGCTGTCAGGTCGCACTCATGGCAAACGATCGCATGTGGGTCTGGAAAAGAGATAAAGGCAAATCTGGGAATCAAGGCCGCTCACACGTGCCATGCCATCAACTTCAGAAACTCTACAAAGAGTGACCTATTGATACCAAGTAAAGAAGCGGCCAGCACTTGGTTGACTTTCCTGCCATGCCATCGACTTCTGGCACTGAACCAGGAAATGGCCCATTGATATCTCAAGAAACAAACGGCCATTTCTTGGTACACTTCAACTTCTTGCGCCCTTCTCATGTTTCAAGGCACGCCCAGCCACGACTACAACTTCTGGCTTTGTACCAGGAAATGATCCTTCAGAGTCTCTGACTTTGAAAAATAACGGGTCAGAATCTGGTACACTTATGCGCACGGCCAGCCATTCTGCTGGTCGATGTTGATGAAAGATCATCAACCCAATGTTCTAAATAAAAAGAAGCAAACTCACCACGTTCCGCAGCGCAATTCACAGCTTCTCTGAGCGCTCGCGCGTCCTGCCACTTGGCTTTCTGATCCGCAGCGCGGCAGCGTTTGCATGCTGGAACCTCTCGAGCCGGCTTCCCCGCATGCTTTAATCCCTTCGACCTTTGACACCGCCGGCGGCGAGGGGCAGGGATGTCATCGCTTCGTGCATTGACAGCAGCGATCAAAATCTCTTGCCTTTCTGCACTTATTGAGATGCGCTCCCTATACTCTGCAGCGCGCACAAAGCGCGCAGCCTTGCAAACCCTGTGATCAGACTTGGACCTGCCACAAGGCCGGCTTCCTTGCCATTTTCAATTGAGCAGAACCTCCGCTGGTCACAGCAACAATCACACAAAAAGCGAGGGCTAATTTGCCCACACTGATGAAGCGCTTGATGGCTTGAAAAACCCTTGCGACGCGCTTAAGTAACAATCACAAGCGAGGGCATGGCAGACACGCTGGCCCTTGATGTCGAGAGTACACCAAGTATGGAACTTGAAAGGCCGTCAGTCTGCCCTAAGTAAATACACTTGGCGCTTGCGGCTTGTTTGCAGTTCCGGTTTGCTGGTGAAGTCGAGCGCTAGCTATGTGATTGGTGGAGGTTGCATTGCTTAGTTTTTAGGTAGAATAGCAGGCAGGTGTTGAAGGTTTGAGGTTGAGTGTATCGTCTATTGCCTGTTCATCTCGTCTTCCTTCTAAGCGTGAATGGAATCTACAGCTGCAAGGTTTGCTCTTGCCTCGTAATTCCAGAGCTTCGTTCTCACAAAACAATGGCTTACCTGTTGAGAGGAACATGGCTGGCCAGGCCCTGGGACCGCTGAATCCCTACCAGGTGATTGGACCTGAGCAAGTCAGGATTCAATCCCCAACCCCGTTGCAGCAGAGACACAAACCAACCAACGCAGAGGTCGCCGAGCAAGTGATGCATAGTCACCGGGTCAAGAAATTGAAGGGTGAGTGTCCCTCATAAGCAATAGAGCAGGTGGTACTTCAGCTTTTCATATGGTTCCCCTTTTGACTAACACACTGTCAACTTATAGTGTCGTCCTGGATTGCTTGATCTGCCTTTTCAAGTTCCTGACAGCGTTTCTACAGTTGGCGAAGGTGCCGGTGCTGCTGTCTGTGTTGTCTCCCTTGTCAACTTGCGCATTGGCCTGTTGGAAAAGCAGGCACGTTTCAAGATTGGATTGCAAAATCCACAACTAGATTGTCTTGCGATGACTTCATCTATAAGTTGTAGCTGGTGTTTGAAATCAGGTTCTGTACTTTGGTGCATTTTCAGATGTTGTTGCTACTGCGTCTGCAGCTTTTGGCACCGTCCTTTTCTGTAACTCTGCACAACTTTTTTTGAATATTTTCCGGAAACATCACAGTAAGTTCGATCATAGTTTCTGCCTCACAGCTGGCTCTGCTGCTTTTTGGTGCTGCTGCCTGTTCAGGTTACCGCCGCGAAAGCTAGATGTTTTCTCGAACGCTTCGATCATCTGATCTACGCTCTCCATCTCTTCAAATGTATGTGTTTCTATTCCTGCTTCTCAAAAATTTCTTCGTTGCAAACACACATGGTCATTTGTGAGAGGGGAGCTTCTTACGGATGGTCATCTGATGACAGCTCAACTATCTCATCTGAATCAACAGACTGCTGGACGGTGAAGTTACTTCATTTCATTTATAATCTTTTCCATGGTCTACCTTGTGATTGATTGAATGCATCTTCCTTGCAGATAGTCAAGGGGCAGGGGTGGTTACGATTACTGACGCAGACGTTGCGGAGGCTGGGAAGAGCAAATTCAGAGTCCTGGAGGCTGGTATGTGATTGCAGCCCTCCGCCAGCATCGCATCTTGCTCGGGACAACAAGTGCTTGATGCCAGTTTCGACCTCCCACTTTTAATGCTGGTTTCGTTCTCAAGATCAACTTCAGTCTGGTTATCAGAGGTGGTCTTTCCAAGTACTTGAGTGCTGCAGCAAATGGTGTTTAGAACAAAGAGGGAATCTTTCAGGGGATGACGTGCCGTTCTGCTCAGGTATGATTATCAGAGGAAGGGCATTTGCACGGGAACGTTTCTGCGACTTGATCGTACTCTGTATGCTGCAGCTGCAGGGCCATCACTGGCCGACCTGAATCGCTCCATGGACGAGATGAAAGCGAATCTGAAGGCAGGGCTGGAGGAGATACGGATGCAGAGCACCAACACGCGAATCTGCATGTACAACAGCCAAGCAAGAAGGCCTGAGCACCAATTGCGCCCGCTCGTCGTTCAGAAAGCTGGAGGGCCGCAGAATCTCGGTGACGTGCCGACCATGATGCCGGGGGGAATCTTCCCGCATGTTCTTGATGACCTTTCCAATATTACCGCCCCACAGCTTGTCCAGTTGCGCACGTTTTTTCATGAGGACTTTGGCATCCAGCCCGGCGAGACGCACGCGGAAAAGGTGTTCAAGTTCCGGTTGTTTATAGGCTGTTAGGTATTGAAGAAAGCACCATTAATTAGTACACGGTCATATTCGTTGTTTGGAAGCAGGATACAAAACAAGTAATTGTGATGGGTGCAGACCAAGGGTTTCATAGGCCTTGCACTTCCCTCTATGGTTGAAGGCGTGTTCAAATAGTTGCAACAAGAAAAGGGCTCAAGTACGTCAAGTGCAAGCTTGATTCCTTTATATTGTTGCTATGATGCACAACCCTGACATACACTAAAACATGCAACTGCTAACATACATACACAACATGCAAGCGGCTGGACAATTCAAATGATTGAAACAAGCCATGTCAACATGTCGAGTATGTAGTAAGACCATGCCATATACTCGGCATACACATTCTCACTCCTCCCATTATGTGCGACTGTTCAGAAGAAAAATGTAACAGGAAGTAGTATAACTCCCACATTGGGGCCAACTGTGTAAGCGTAAACATATATAACAAGACCATCACAGAGATTTTTGCGCAGATTTTCGCTTTTATCCTGTTATTTACGTACTCAGGAACAAAGGGTACCTGTAATCGCGAGTGCTCGGGTGGATCAAGGCAATACCGTACAATGTGCGTACGCACCAGCTTTAAATTTCGACCCCGGTTCGGTGCCTAGTGCCCCTGCAACTATATTTAGGTCCGAGGGAGGCTGACATGGCAGCCTCTCAGTGGCCCAATTGTAATATGACGGTCGATTCTACATTAAATGAGGTCTATATAAAATAAGCTCCAACTAACACTAAAACTCTAATCCAAACATCTACTCACCCGCATCCACCTTAACCCCCAAACTAACCCCACCCGTCACAGGCTGGGGAGCTTGTTTCATATGGAGCTTATTCTATACAGATTCGACCGCGATAACTTCAATGCCGAAATTGCCTGGGCCGGGGGTTACCCGTGGCGGCCATCGCGCGGCTGCTTTTTGTGGTGAAGTTCATTTGGTTTGCTGCGCCTTGTCGCTAACGTTACCGTCTCTCAGCTTTCTCAGCTTGCGAGCTTGTTTCTGTGGCTTTTGAAATTTGTATGCTGGAGACCAGGCTTGTGACCCGGGAACGCTTTACTGCGGTAACGGTGTACATACGGACCCCTACCGGCTCATTGCTTATGCCGAAAGGGCCGATATCTGGGTGCCCGGTACATTGACCTGGCTGGGTTGGGTGGGAATGCAAGGTCGCGCCAACTGCACCGTTGGGCTTACTCGCGGGCGGCCGCCAGGCCGCGCCCCGCTGGCGGCCGCCGCTAGTCAACTTAGCAAGGTTTCAAGGTTTCGCAAGAATCAATCTGGGTTAACTTCAGTGCGGTTAAAATTGCAGGGTTACAATCAATTACAGAAAAACTGTAGGCAGCGCCAGGATCTCGATATGCGCACGTTCCAAACGAAACGTTAAACTTCGCGGTTAACGTGACGTCTCCAAATCCAAGTGCTAGGGTTTCCATGCACTGTAGTGCTCATGCAGAGAATCTGCTTTTCCTGATGGAAAGAAACAGATGGTGTCTTTCGGTATAGCCCAGATGGTTTCTTGCGGTCTTGAGCTCCATTGTAGCATTTCGGCATCCTAGTACTCGATTGAAAACGGCCTGAAGACAGGTGGTGGTTTGCTGGAGCTGCATTGTTGCTCATGTGTACTTGGTCAGGGCTTGTTGAGCGAGGGGGGCCACAAGTCATATTATGAGAATCTTCGGTGCAGAAGGGTATATGCAAGGAGATATGGAACAACTCTCTGTAAGGGGGATATGAGAAACTTAAAATCCCATCCGCGTTGCATGCATCCCTTGGCAAAGCTGCATCCATGCTGCAATCAAAGTTTGCACTAGTCCCAGGCTTGGAGTGCAGGCCCTACAGAAGTCAGAGGACCCAAAGAGAAGATCTCATCTGCGGTGATTGTCTAGTTGCATGAAGCTCTTTCCAAATTAGGTGAGAAGCTTCTAAGGATGCCTGCTGACCCGCCTACAATACAACCAGCTTCAATCACCAGAAACAAATCAAAGCCGTGCGTCGCAGCTATTAGATGGATTTGAAGATGGCGGAATCCAGGAGGTGGTGTTGGAGCAGGTTGAGTGCGGTTGGGACATGCCCGCGGACGCAACGCGGCTGCTTCGGCGCAGAACTCAAAATCTGGCAGCCCACTGGGCCCCAGCGGAGCATCAAGCCAGCTTCTCGACCAGCACAGGATCCAGGTGAGGAAAGCAGGGCAAAGAAAGCAAAGTATAGGAGGGGGACAAGGTTTATAGAGTTGGTGGGAAGATACAGAGTTAAGGAAAAGGGAAGAAAATTACACTCAGTCAGATGGTAAGACTTCATATGAAGAGGTTTCGGCAAGTCCTGCTTGATCGCAACTAATTCTTGTTGACGTTGTAAACCGCGGCATGTGGGAGGCTGACCGTATACAGCGTTCATTCCTGCTCATCCTCCCTCCAGAGATTGCAAAGCACAGGATGGACTGGTTGCAGTCCTTGTCCCTTGAATGCTCCTCAGCATCAGCCACATCAAACACTCTTGACAGATGGCTGGCCAGCGGCAGTCTGGCCCGCCTGATTAATTGGATGACAAAATGGGTATGGGTGCGTGTATTGCCATAGAAAGCTTTCAATGCAGGCTCGGTTGTGGTTCGCGGCTGCGATGCGCAATTCATCCCATCCCCATTCAGCATTCTTTCAACCTGTTCTTCGGACTCATGTCCTGTCCTCTTGTTCTTCCCAGGCGCCAAACGCAGCATAGCACAGCGGGTCAGGCTCGTGGGAAAAGACATATCAGTGGGCGCGAGCAGGTTAGTGAGGCTGACACCGACTCTTACATATGCTTCATTCAAGCGACTTATCGTCGGGTTCAAGGCTTGGCACCTTCCAAGGTCAAACTGCAGTGAGTTTGATTTCCCAGATTGCCCAGCTTTCGTGCGCCTCAGAAGGAGACATGATGAATTGCTCCCCGGGCTCAAAGATTCCCTTGATGTGGCCACAAGACGCCGTCTGGTAGGAACATTTTCAAGAACTGGTTGATTTCTGCTGCGGCGATAGGCGAGTCCCAGAAATGTTCCACACGGAGAACCCTCCTTAATCCAGCTTTTCCTTAAGTCAGTTCGCTCATGCTATCGAGCCTTGGGCGGCTTGGCCGCTGTGCTCATGCCAATGGGATGACATTGACCAGGTTCACGTGGCCGCTCAAAACAGCGCACCCTTTACTTTGGACAATCATACGCTTTTCAACTTTTTTCACGTCCCACAGGTCGACTCCAAACGACTGGGATCCGACGAGCCTGCACATATTTGTGGAGAGCCGCGCGTGGCGAGTGCAGCCGGGATAATAGCGGCCGCTACACGAGAGTACGACCACGATGTGCACATCGCGCAAATACTTAGGTGAGGAGTACTTCTGCACAAGTCGTGACGTCTTCAATATCTGGGCGTGTCATCGAGTCTTCCTTCCAATGCTTCCAAGAGTACTCAGAGATACAAGAGTGTCGCTGCTGCGCGCCTCACGCCCAGAATGAGGATCATCTCGCTTCTGTGTGTATTGGGACTTGGGTCTTTGGGGCTTTTATTACGTATTTCTTTAAGGTGCGGGAGGGCACAGAAACAGCTGTACATTTATGCACCTCGAGCTGAAATTTAGAGCAAGGATTTGGTTGGATCTTAGGGGTTTTCCTGGTTTCGTTCGGTGTTTTTGGGCTCATTCTTCTATGCCGGATATTATCTATGCCGGATATTAGGAGCAGCTGGACAAGGACAACAACTTTGCGCAGCTCGAGCGGATATTCGGCGTGAGGGTCATGCTGGCTGTCGGATGTCGCCAATTGAATCTACCAGCGCTCTTTCTAATCTCTTTGTCCATGCAGTGTCGTAGAAATGACCTGTAGGCGTCTCGCTCGCTCTCGTCATTCGTCCTTCCAACCTTACAGCTTCAAGCGCCTTCCGACAACAGACCACGACCGTGTCCGGCCCTTCCGGCTGCTACTATGGAATTTAACACTCGCCTGTCACCCATGTCTATCCTCTCTGATCTTTCCTCCTAAAATTGTCAGGCTTTGCTGCAGATGACATGAAGGAGCACCACCCCCGGCGTTTATGGCGCGTTCCGGCTGCGGCTGACTGAGTTGCGGCTGGAGAGGGAGTGCCACGTGGCACTCCAAGAGGAGCGTCAGGGCGTCCCCAAGCTGGCGGGCTCGCACACGAAGAGTGACGTCACAGTCCGGGGCCACCTGTCGGCCGTTGAGACTACCTCCCTAAACAGAAGTCGCGGGCTCCACAGGCGCTGAGGAATCCTTCGAGAAGATGAAAGGGTTGCGGAGTCAAATCCCGACACATGGCGGGGCCTGTGCTCGGGAAAGAGCTTCGGCCGCTGGATTCGAGGATTGGTCGGAGGCTCAAAGCCACCGCAGCGCAAGAGCGCGACCGAGAGGGGCGGCGAGACATGGGGGGGGCGCGGGCGAAGGCCGCGAGAAGGGCGCCGGAGAGCAGCGAGATGCGCGCGCGTGCGCCCGGACTGCAAACCGGGGCGCGAGCGAGACATGGGCGAACGTGGACGCACGACCGGAAGCAGAGACGGGCGCGGGAACGCCTCAAGCGGACGACATCAGTCGGAAGATGGCGTGCACGGCTTGCACGTGGGAAACGCGCTGGCGAAACTACACGAGGTGGGCTCCGCTTCCTGGTCGCCGCTTGTTAGCCCCCAGTTTCAGCAACTTTCTCTACCTTCTGCACCCGGTCCTGATTGTTCTCGAACGTTCTATCTTCGCGGGAGGTTCCCGTCGTCATTTAAAACGCTTCAATATTACAAAACCGCAATTCTCGAACACGACAACACGAGCCTGTGTAGGACGACGCGGTCAACACCACTATCCCACCGCGCCTCCTACGAACAAAAGGCTTTGCAACTCTTGTACGCTGTGCGTTTGTCGCGTTCACACCCGTTCACCAGAAAGAAACGAAGTCCGGTTGAGCTAGAGGAGTGGTGGGTCAAGCTGGGCTTGCAGACTGTGACGCCAGCAGGGGTACGAACACTCGGGCAAGCTGTGAAGTAGGACATGGAGTCCGCCCCCGGATTGCTGGCAATGGCGACCCGGTTCATGCCACTGCTCAAATTCTCCCTAAAAGTGTGCAGATTCTGACGTCAGCAAAGTCCGACTGTTCCGTTCCGTTGTGACGTTAGCCGACAGTGTTCCGTTCCGGTAGTGAGGGACGACTTGGAGTCTGCGCAGGGGCTGCTGGCGATGGCAAAGAGGGTGAAGTTTAATCTAGGAAAGATGTGACGTCAAGTAAGCTTCGCATTTTCAGACTGGACGTCAGCAGAACTTTGATTATCTTTCAGGTTGTGAAGGACGACTTGGAAGCCCGCGCCGGGGCTGCTGGCGTTGGCAAAGAGGGTGAAGTTTTACGTTAAGGTGACGTCAGAAAAGCTTCGCATTTCCAAATTGAGACGTCAGCAGACTTTCGTTATCCTTTTAGGTTGTGAAAGATGACACGGAGTCCGCGCCAGGCTGCCGGGTTCATGCTGCGGAAGCAGTCGCCACAGACAAAAACAGTCTGAAGCGCATCCAGCAGATTGGGCTACTCTGCGGAGAACCGCGACGAACTAGAGCGGGGCTGGCTCAGGCCAGCTGACGTGTCCATCCGCGAGGGGAAGCACGACGCGGCGCAGGTGGGAATACGCTCTTGGTGCAGACTCGGAAAATCATCCCTCAGGGGCAAGAAGCTCCGTAAGAAGGGTAGAGACGCTTTCTTTTGGCGCACAGGGAGGTGGCACGTTTAGAATGGATACTGCGCTGCTGGTGGCACGTTTAGAATGGATACTGCGCTGCTGGCGCATACTTTGACTGCTTTTTGGTTTGCTGTGCTTTTCCCTTGTCTTAATCGATCTGACACCCCATTAACAGGGGAAACGCTCTTCAGAGGGCGTAGTTCAATTGACTCATGACCACAGACCCAAGTAAAGAGAATCTTCGGACGACGGTGCCTGCCCTGCTGTACACGGACCCCGTTCTGGAATTTGATCCATCTTTGTGAAGAGCCGAGCTCTGTGGTCAACCGCTTGGAAGGTGGTTTCTTTGAACCCTGAGGTTTAGAGCTTGGCCCAATATTCTGCAGTAATTTTGGAGCTCGATCTTGGAATAAACAAACTGCATCTTCCTTTCGCAATCTACCACGTCACTTCAGCACTCCTAACATGTAGCCTAAAGCTGCACCCAAACTTTGAAGAAAGACCCATTCTTGATTCTCGGCGACTCGACTTGTATCCATAATATGGACTCGCTTTGCCCTCTTCAACTACTAAGATCTGGTAAGCTCTTAACTTCGCGCTTTCACTGAACGACAGCATCAGATTCTTCAGAGTTTCTTCTCTCCATGTTGAAGTCTTTCCTCTGAGTATTCGTACTACTCTGTAACCTTCAATGAAGTTATATTCGATTGTGGGTATTAAACGTCTTGGTCGTTTCTCTACAGGACGGAAATTCAGGACGTGCTCGACAATTTTTCAGCATCGCGAGGTGTTACGTAGGTTGTACGTGCCACAGGGCCGCGGCCGCGCTCTGCCTCAAAAGGCTGTAGAAAAGAAAAACGTGAGGACTACAGTACTTTTGTTTCGAAATACCGTCCGCATAGCACGAAACTAGTAGTTTGTATAATGGTTCTTTCGAGCTGCACCTTGTCACGGTTTGCGTTCAAAAGAAGGTTTTTATACTCAGGCTTCTTCCATCCAGCTTGCCGCTGACAGTGATCATGAGCAACGATGCTTTTCTCCTGCAAACAAAGACTAAGCGGCTGGATGACGGGCCGCCAAGCTGACTCAACATTGAGAATCTCGCTCAAGCATTGTGTCATTCTTCAATCACTTCCGTGCCGATCTTGGATCCGTAAGCCTGCGTACGTGGAAGAGCATGCAGAATGCTTCTTGTCCGATCTCGTTCGAAGTCTGCACTATGCTGTGGAAGTTCCGCGCTTCTCGAATCCTGCCCCTTCCCTCGATGTTCCAAGGATATTACTCTATTACGTCGTTCCTTGCTCAAAAGCGACCAATGTTTGCGGCCAGCTCTTAAGTACCAGTTGACCAGGATGACATAAACCGTGGCCCTGTATATTGCAACTGACCCGGGACATATACAAACCGGGCCCCGGTTGCCAGACACACACGCCGGTTGCACAAGTCTGGGATCGGTTTTCGTATAGCGGGGCCCGGTTCGTCCAAAGCAGTCCCCACAACAGATACCGAGGCCTGGTTTGCACAAACTGGGCCTTGGAAAGTACAGCAACCGGGGCCGACCCGGTTCCTGCTTTCCCAGGCGGCCTTTGAGCTCAGACACCCGTGCCAAACCGGTCAATTATCGGGGCGCCCAACAGGGGCGCCCCGGTTGGACGCCACAATTCGCGTCCTATCCTCCGTGAAGAACACTTCTTTGTCAGCGGCCACCACGGTCTGTTCGAAACTCACAAGCGACTGGGAGACCGGCGTGCAATATTGGTCCGTTAGATTCACTTCAATCGCATATTTGGCCAGTCTGAGATGGCTTCGTACTCTTTCATGTTTCAAGGCTTTTAAGATTCTTCCAATCTAAGAAACGCATCTTGTGAGATTGCAATCTCATATGCAATCCCTGACGGCGCTGGTTTTGAAACTGAGCGCGACCTCAAAGCTGCTAGACTATGAGTTCGTTGTGATCTGACTTTCGTTGCTTTGGTGTCTCGCACGAGAACTACGGAGAGCCGATGCTCGGGGCGACAATTTGATCGAGGGTGTGAATAAAGTGAAATTTCTTGTGGCCGGGCAAAGAGAAAAGGCTGCCAAAGCCAACGTTGTAAAACGCAATGGATCTGTTCAAATTCTGTTGAGAACGCGTCTTCCAATTGTCAATACCGCCTAGGTTGTATGTCATCAATCATTACCCCGGGATTTACTTTTGGTGGCTGTAAACCATTTGCTTCTCGTTGCAAAGACAGAAACATAGCAGGCATCTGGTCGCTTCAGATGCCTCGAACTCTGGCGGACGAATAAGACTCGACGAACTCCCTCGGATCAATCCGAGGCCGCAAAAGCCGCAAAGAGTCTCGTGCACAAGCTAAGACTCGAAACTCGGCATTCAAGCCGCTGGAAAATCGTTCCAGTGGTCTGTTCGCATTGTCATGCTAATCTCCCTTTGAATTTTCAAGACTCAAAAGCTTGAATACAGTTTGGCATAAGGGAATTTTGCGCATGACCACCTTTCCTGTTCTCCATTCCCTTTTCTATCCATTCTCCTTTGAACTTCCTTACGCCGCAAGCAAGGCGCCACTGAGTTCCTACCCGTCTGCAGCCTCCGCGACTTGCTTGCAAAGATGGTGGCGAAGTCGTCCCTGATTGGCCTCTTCGGCCTACTCTGCCTTGTTCTGCATAGTGCGAAGGTAAGTGAATGTCGAGCAGGTTGTCCTAGTTTTTCCCAAGGCTTTGAAAAAGGGGACTTACTTCTGACGCTTGTGTTCTTTGCTTCTAGCTTTGGCTTTCTTATGTGACCCAGATGCTCTCCGATTTGCGTTCTTGTCTAGTTGTGTGTATAACGACTTCCAGCCAGTGACTCAAGTATGATAGTTGGCAGTTGAGTAAGTGATCATCAGTTTGTCTAGACGCGTCAAAACTGCTGTATGTGTTGGCAGGATACACAGAATTCCCACATGGGCCACCCAAAATATCTATCTCTTATTGCGCTGCCTGTCGCTGCCTTTCAAAGCGCGGGTGTTCTTAAGAATCAAAGTTCTTGACATTTGAAACTAGCTCTTTTCAAAAGGTGGGCTGTATGGCACCACTTGCCGAAACGTCGAAGCTGGGAATGGTATCATTTCATGCAGTATGAAGCAGCCGATTCGGCCGTCGATGTCGAAGATTGAGTGCTTTTCGTGTCTGCCTCTGCTTTCTGCACGAAACGCAATAAGGAAGCACTGACGTTTGCCCATCCATATTCAGGTTTTTGCAGTCGCTTTGAAGGAGGACTCCGGTTCCGTCGTGTTGGTGACGGAACCCCGGTTCCGCGGCGAAAGTATCGCGGTTGCCCACCGAAAGCTGATGCAGACTGCGTCACCTGCAACGCAGGCGCCAGGTGGGTGCAAAACACAAAATCATGGACTCGGATAAGCGACTGTCTTCAAGGGTTATCAAGAAACCTTCAAAATTAAGTAATCCGACAAAGGACTTTGAATGATCTAATCTCCAAAGTAAGGAAGACAGACTCGGGGCTCTGAGAGGGATGTTCAGCTATCTGAACCCAATCCGACTCTTAGAACTGGCCAATGAAGTCTCGTTCGTGTTCTAGAATGTGGTTCTTGGTCCAAAGACCGAAGCTCGAAAGCACGTACGTCTCGAGCCGAAAGTTATTATATCAAGCGCAAATCTGATTTTTTCAATTTCGGTCTCAGAATTTTTTCGGTCTAACTTGAAGCAAAGTCTCTGAGTCCGGATGCTGACTTCGAGTTCCTCGCGCTTATTTCCGGTTCAACATTGTAACGGCAGGTGCGGTTGCGTCCATGTGCGCACCTACCGACCGGTCCTTGAACCCGCTGACCCGCGTCTACTGTTCCTACAACGTGACGATCGGCGGGGCCCCCGTTAAGACATTGACGGTCTGCACGTACAATGCAACCGGTGCTCTCCTCGCGGTTCCCGCGGCCACTATCTCTGGAGGGGCTCCACGGATACCCCCGTTTTCCTGCCCAGGTGAGAATGGGCGCCGTTCCTCATACAAACGAGTCTCAGAACTCGTTTTGGCCTGTTGTAAATGCTCCCCGACCGGCTTCATTACACTTTGCTAGAAGAACAAGCTAGAGGTGCTACAGCGAGGCGGAAGTAGGGGAACTCGGCTTTTAAAGGAGTACAGAACGTTCAAAAGTTGTCCAGAAGCCCATTCATTGAAGTAGAACGGAGAAAGTTTGTGAACATCTAAGACACTTCGCAATGAACGTTAGATCCTTTCAGTTCATCCAGAAATTGCAAAAACCTCCATCAATCTTTTCACGAAATCAAGTATTGCTATATGAATCGGAGGCTATTGAGACTCTAAAGGGCTAGCTTACAGAACTTGAACATACAGAGGGATTCTGCATGACGCTGTGGCCCTAATCAGTCTTTGCAGTGCCACTTGTAGCAGAGATGCAAGTACTCAAGGTTCGTTTGCTTCTTCGATGACATTCTTATGGTGATCATCCATGGGCTGTTAGATCTTCCTACTTTTCTAGACAACGTTGAATCCATATCACTAGCAATTGCAAGTAATCTGCTTCTGTATTGGAAAATCCATGGCCAGTGAAAAGTGCAAAAGTCGGATTTGTTTCTGGCTTACTGGCAGGCAATGTCGTCCCCAACTCTTGCCCCGCGTCGATTCAGCGGAACTTTGCAAACGCGAGCATTTTCTACCAGCAATATCTTTGCGTGTACGCTGTCAACGCATCAACCGCAGCTTCAACATTGTGTGGTTACGTCGCAACTGGCGCATCAAACGGGATGACCCCCCCCAACTGTCCAAGTGAGCGGCTATTTGCGAGCACCAGATCAAGTTGCGGCCCTGCAAGTTGTGTGAGCTACCAAGCACGGCCATTTTTGGCCACGAGGGAGCACAGCAAGATCGAAAAATGAATTGGTTAAGGCTACTCCGTACTTTGGCGTGGCTTCGTAGGATATCCGTTATCAGATTGATTCCAAAAATGGTTTTGAAATCCGGGCTCTTCGCTTTCAACAAAGACTGATGCAGGCCGATCGAATACAAAACACGTAGCCGTCGTTTCTGCTCAAGCCCGGTTATCCCACTCTATATGGCTGAGCTTATCCAATCTATTCCCGATAAATGAGTCGATTGAAGCCGAGCCCCGTACTGCTTCAGCTTACATAAAGAACTGGGTCCAGTGCCCATACCTCAAAAAGAACGAGAAAACGTTTGCGTAGCTCTTGCTAAAAAACTTAAGGATCTATTAGCTAGGTGCACCTTTTCCTTCATCAAGCAAACGTCATTTATATCTTTTCTGCAGGTGCTCCGACGCCCATATGCCCTGTCATAAATGTAACCTCGAACCCGTTGACGCGATTGGCATGTCTGTACGGGGTCCAACAGAGTGTCCCAAGCGTTAGAACTGTGTACGCGGATTGTTTCTACAATACAACCGGTGCCCTCCAGCCGCTGGTGTCGCGAGTAGATGATCCGAATATTGTCTCCTGCCCGGGTGAGCTGTAACGACTCGAACACATTCCTTTTCATTTTTCGGGATGGATTCGGCTCTTTAGAGATGGGAAGTTAAGGCAAAGAAACGCGATATGCGATCACTGACTGCGAGGCTCTCCAACCTTGAATTGCGAATCCGTTTTTTTTGGGTCAAGTTGAAATGCGGCTTTCAAATTTGAACGCGTTCTTTTGGGGCCCGGTTCAGCTCTAGCAATACGCCTTCGATTTGCCAAGTTGTAGTCGATACCTATCACCCTTGCGTATGGCAGCGCTATTTTTGAACGATGAAAGTTATTTGGGGCTAGCAATACTTTCCCTAGAGTAAGTTTTTCGATTGCATCTACCTTTAGATTTATGAATTCCAAAGACGTCTTAGGCAGATTGAAGCACCAAGCAACGACCGGGTCGGACCCACTGACGAGCTTTATATATATCCAAAACAAAAGTTAAGGTTGCAACGTTGACGATCACCTTAATGCGTATATGACTTCACGATGACTGGCACGTACGTACTGGTCCCAACGCACCAAGGAACACTCTCGAGAGTCTCCTGGCACTGTTCACTCAAGAATTTCAACCGAAGTAGTGCGCCTTTGTGCTCCCTAAAATCTTCCAGGCCATTCATTTCCCCTTGATGTCCTTAATCTGGGCGCGACAGCAAATGGTTGCATACAGTTAAATAACCATCAATTATGCGTGTTCTCTGTGCTTCATCATTGTAGGAAGTACACCCGTCCTCAGTTCGTGCCCTCGCGTGGAGTCGGTTAATGGATTTTCTCTTGCCGTGTCATTCTTCAACTTTATTTGCCTTTACAATACTCCTGCCTTGGCGGCCGGGTTGGGCCCTCAGAATGAAGGAAGTTGCACGAGCCAGGTGGCGCATTGCTCAGCGGCGGCTGGAACATCCAGTGTCCTGGTGGGTCCCGCACCTCTCCTCGCAAAGACAAACCATAACACCATAATGTTGACCCAAGTATGAGTCGCTATATAAGCGCCGTGTCAAGTCGGATGCACATGAGTAAAATATGGGGCCAGCCCAACTGGCAAATTGAATGTCAATACAGGTCTGCACGCTTAAGTTTGAGACTGCTTCAGAGCCTGATTGTTTCCCTCCTCTTGCCCTGCAATTGCAATCAGAGGCTGTTTGTATAAAGAAATCTCTCGAATCCAAAAACATTCGATGGATCAACGTTGCTTAACGGGGCCGCAGTTTCTCGTCCCTCACAAATGTACATTTGTAACTTTACGCAGCTAAACTCCTTGTGCCCCCAACGCCTGCTTTGACGCCTGCTCCGACGCCACAGCCACCCGTGCCACGTAAGTTGCACAAGTTCCAATGGTCAGCTTTTCGATAGACGCTCTGCTATTCTGGTCTTCTGGGCTCCATCTTTTGATGTTAAGCGCCAAAAGAATGGACCACCGAACGGTTGGTGTTCGCAATTGCAACCCCAGCTTGTTGGGGCTCCCGCTCTAGCGGGCAAAGCTGTCACGAGTGCACCACCGCATGAGTTGCATTCGGTCTCGGGTGAATAATTTCAAGTGTGCCCTCACTTCTTGGTAAACGGGCCAGGCCGAAAAAATGTAGATCTCTTTAGAACAGCGCTCGAGACTCGGACGAGTCGGTAACTTTGCCGGTAGAGAGGAACGATTCGAAATAGCAATCTGGATCTTAGACATGTATGTTACTGGATGTTTGGAGAGAGTTAGCTTGTCTTTAGAAGATATCAGGTGTTAATAGATTTATTCAAAGCCATGCCTAGTACGAATAACCTCGACAACTTCGCGTTTCTTGTTCTGCTTCTTCAACGCCAAAATTGGGCGTGCTTGGTAGCTTGCTTACACAACTTGGGCCGCAACTTGAAGTCACTTGATACTCGCAATCACGGATGTAGGGCCGACCGGTTACAAGAAACCGTAACCGTCGTTTTTGCTCCGCCCATATTTAGATTTATCGCATTCTAGGGCTGAAGTCACCCAACTTACTTCCACAGAAAGGAGTTGGTTGAATTCGAGTCCCTCGTACCCTTTAAGCTTATCTAGAGACTCAAATCCAGACCCGGTACCTTGACAAGAATGAGAGAGCGTTTGCGTAGTACTTGCTAAACAGCCCAAGGATCTATTGAGTGCAACCTTTCAGACGGTCAAGCACGTCCTTTATTTTCTTTTTTGCAGGTGCAGTAACGCCCACATGCCCCACCATAGATTCGAACCCATTGACGCGATTGGCGTGTTTGTACTCCGTCCAGCAGAGTGTTCCGCCCTTTACAGCTATGCTTGCGTCCTGTTTCTACAACACGACCGGTGACTGGCTCCTCCCGTTGGAGCCAGTGGATACTCCGAATATCTGCCCAAGTGAGCTGTAACATCCAAGGTCCGAAGGTCCTGTTTTTCCACTTTTCAAATTGTTCGAAGGGCTTTTCAGAAAACGGGAAGAAAAGGCAAAGAAAAGCGTTATTGGTTTTGTGACCGCGTGGCTCTCCACAAGGGATCTTTGCATGCGGTTATTTTGGAATCACGGCTTCTGAAAATAAACGCTGTCCTTTTAAACTTCGTGCAATATGCATTCGGTTCGCAAGCGGGACTAGGGCAGCGCTATTAACCATTTGAGGCAACCGTTGCACCGGAGTGGGTTGCCGAATTGCACGATCTACCTTCAGATCTCTGGACTCCAAAGACGTCAAACATTGAAGCACCGAACAACGACCCAAATGAGCGAGATGTTAAAAAAGGGTTGTAAGGTTTTACCTCTCTGACATAGTATCTTCATGCAAATTTGGCTTCACGATGACGGGCATGTAAATACAATCGTTCAGAACCAACGCATCAAGAAACAATTTCAAGCGGGAGTCTCTTGTTGCCACCGTTCGCTCAGATCCCACCGATTGATTGTTGTGCCGCTGTCTCCCTACAATTGACCAGGCAAACGAACTCCCATCGACGTCCTTTGGGCGCCCCAGCAAATTATCCTGTTCTAAATTGTACCTCCTCGTTTGTAGGTAGCACAACGGTCCCCAACCCGTGCCCTGGCGTGGTGTCGCTTGGTCTTCCCCTTGCCGTGTCAGTCAGCAGCTTCAAGTGCCTTTACACTACTCCTGCCGTGGTGGCCGGTTCCCTCAAGGAGGAAGTTGCACGTACGCGCCAAGTGGCGGATTGCTCGGCAGCTTCAATGTCCGATGTCCTAGTGAGTCCCGCACCTATCCTTGCATTAGAAAACCATGCGTTTTCCCATCGGTTTAGTTTTCCTTGGGGACAAAACAAATTAGCTGATATGATATTGCGGTGCAAGATAAGCACGCGATTTTCACTTGCTGACGGTTTATACCAATATTGCTACATAACATAGTCAATTCAGTCTTTGTCTCGTTCTGTTAATGGTCTCGACAAGCGAGTCCGCGCCACCAACTCGACGGTTGGAAGGGCATGTAGTGCGTATGAGCCGCTAATTCGGTGTCCCGTGTAATAGATTCGTTCGGCGAGCCCTGAGTCGAACCTCACCCTTCGAATGGGACTTGACTTGAACGGGAGCATTTTGCACAGCTGCATCTGTAAGCGGCACACTTTGACCAGCCACATGTGCCACCGTATTTACGGCCAATGAAGCGGTGTTCGTTCGAACCCACTTGCAGGGAATTGTGACTTTCTCATTGCAGGTCGACAACAGCCCCTACGCCACAGAAGGAAGGTTGCCCTGAATCTGATTCAATCCTTTGTTTCGATTTCCTGATCAAGACCCGCTGTCGTGCTGATCATTACCTTGTTGGACTCGTGCAGCCCCCTCGCCTTCGCCGACCTCTGGTAGGTTTCCGTTCCTCCCCAATCTTGACCGCCTAGCCGGATCCCATCTTAAACGACCAAAACATGAGCCAGTTTTTGAATTGACGAGTACTTCCGTTGATCAAATCTTAGGTTGCATCTCGTACAGTGATTGATGATATCGGATTGGACAGATTGAGCACTGCGCTTTCCCAGGTGTACAAGACACAAGTTTCCCGTTGGGTACGTAAATCTGCTCACCAAACCGGTCGATCAGGTGGGACGCAATATCAGTTCATCCGAATGCCAGGATGCACTGGGACCCTCGGGACCACGTTATTCATTCTCTTTCGTTGGCGTTCATGTCCGTCCTTAACTCTAACACTCGACATGTGCAGGCGTTTGATCCAGGAGACAGGGTAACAAGAAGCCGTTCCGCGCCAGGCTTTGGCCAGGATTCTGTAGATCGAGTTCGCGTTTGTAGGCTGTGAAATAGGGGGCGGGCAGAATCTACCTCGAGACAAAACAAGATTTCATCTTCTGCTGCCAGTTTAGAGACCACCGCCATGGCTTCAGAGTTCTTTTGACGGACCAGTAGTCCGTGCAGTTGCCTACGGCAGATATATATAGCACTGGACACCTTCAAAAACCTGCATAAAGTGCAGTGAATGTCTTGAATCTCATGAGTACATCAACCGCGCCGCCGATGATCTTCTCGAGGGATAAAAGACTTGGAGTGTTAATCTAAGGTCCCTCTACGAACGATCCTTAACGCTTCTAAACGCAAAATACCTCGTCCGATCATGAAAATACTGTTTGTACGAAATTACATACACTGCATGGCTAATGAGTCATGACTGTGCAGCCAAGGCGACCATTCAATTAATGACGTACGGCCAGGAATTGCTTGTACAGCTGGCGGCCGCCCAGTTCTTTTCGTGTGACGCTCAAATCCAGAAGCCTAGGATTGCGGGTGTCGCGTCGGTTTGGCAGCGCATTGAACGGGGCACAGGCGAGAGACTGGAGTTTCATGATCAGGAAGCTGGCAAAGCGAGCAAGCAACGAGTCGTTCATGTCAAGGAGGAGGGGTTGCGGGGTTGAATCCTTCCGACTTCTTCACTCCGGCTTTTAAAACGGTCGGATCAGGGGAGGGGCCGGCCCTTGGCACCTGCTGCTTGAAGAAATTCAGACGACGGTTTCGGAAGGCAGGAAAGGTTTGACATGTTCTGGAGCTCCCCAATCTGTCAGTATCGTGCGCCAGAATTTCAGGTACTTATCTCCAGGCAGTTGACTTCATACGGAGATTTGAAGCCTAAAGTGCCGGTGTGACACTTGAGAAGTGATTGTGGACTAGAGTCTTGCTCGACGGAAAGAACGAACCGGAAGGATCGGACGGATCATATCTAGCCGGAACCACAGAGCGGGGCTATTGTGGTCGTAAAGTTGAGGTGCCATGCAAATGGGCTCCCTGAGAGGCGCCTCTCGCTATCGAAGACAGCCGCTCAATTGCAGGTAATAAATTGACTCAAAAGACTGCAGATCCTGACTTCTGAAAGGAAGCCAGAATTGCTCTCAACGTGGGCGATTCTGAGAGGTCGCCGTTGATTCCACTGCTGAACGGCGTATCGGAATGTGCCGTCGAATTCAACGAACCGACCTCTTCGGGACAAGCCGGTTCTTCTGGTTGCGCCTCAGGCCGGATTGGGCGCCTCAGTACAATGCGTAGCGGTACAAACCTTCCAAACACCAGAAAGCCACAGCAGTTTCCTCACTTTTGAAGTACAGGCGGTTGTTGTATTTTGGAAGACGGTCAGGTCGCCTCAGGGGACTACGAACGCGGGTTCCGCCGGTTCGTTAAGATGCTTATTCACGTAGCTGCTTGTGCAGCAAGAAGGGTTGGCCAGTTTTCAGAGGCCGAAAGGTAGAAAGTGGCACGTACCAATCCTACGCGCAGAGCTGGCCGACCGCTGCAGGGGTTCTTTGCGACCGTATAGGCGCTGCGCGCGAGCGGGCTCCACCGGCAGTGATAGCCCGAGCATTATGCACCTAGTGCTGTGGACGGAGTTCCTGAAATGCAGTGGTTGGCGCGCGCGGGGCCGCGCGCAAATAGCAAGACCGCGGCGGCACCACTGCAGAAGCCGTGGCCTGCCTGCGGCGCGCGCCTCTGCGAAGTTTTGGGTTTTTGGTCTGAGAGACGATGGCGGCCGCCGAGCTGCCCACCGGCTCCGATCGGCTGCGGCAATCATACTTCAGCCGACGGACCGAAGAAGGTGACAGCGGGAAGACGTCAGCCGATTAGCTAGCAGCCGATGAATTGTGTTGAACGCGGCTCGGCGCCGGCCACGTTGCTGCAACGCTCGGCTGATCAGGCTGGAAAAAGGCGGAGTAGCGGAGAAGCTAGTACAGGGGAACTTGTAACGTTATCAGAAAACATGTTTCTGTGGAGGGGCATGAGGCAGTCAGTTTGGAAATGGAGGATTAATGCAGCCATTCTTACGGGCCGGGGTGCGGGTGCATGGGAAAGCGCATTCCGAACCGTTCGCTCTGTAGATGCCGGACCCCATGTGGTCAGCAAGTGACTAGAAGCTGACCATGAGTTCGACAGCGCGGCGTGACTGCTGAGCGCGCGCGCGAGCACGCTCACGAGGTGGTCTCCGCGCCGCCAGCGCAAGGTCGCGCGCCTCGTGCGCGCTCTAAACCAGCAGACAGCGCCTCACGGCGACCGTGCTGCGCGAGGTAGCCCCGGCCGTATCAGAGAGTCTCGCGCAGCTACGCGCAGTCGGGCAACCTTTTCTCGGTACGTCGCGAGCTCTAAGTTCGCTGGACCTGACGTCCATATCCGCACCAGAACAGCATATGGTCGGGCGATTAATATCGATTGATGGCGTCACTTTGAATGCCCACAAGTTTGTTGCGTCGAGGCCTTCTAAGGTATTACGAACTTGTAAGATCTTCTAGACGAGGCAATTGGCGGCGCAGGTGGCCTCGCTTGATTTTCATTGGAGTCTGCCCGCGGCGCGGCGCGGCGCGAACCGCGTAGTGGTGGAACTCGATCCGAAGTGGCGAAGACCGCAAAAGAAACCACGGAATCACGTGTACTTCGAACGAGAATGGTTGCAAGAGCCTGAAAAGCCGTTTAAAATTTTTCGAAGACTGTGATGGTTGGCCAGCTATATGCAGGGAGCTGGCAGGATAACTACACACGATCAGCTAACATGTGCGGAAACCATGAAAGCAGGCGTTCTCAAGCAATGGCGCAGCTCAGAAAAATTGTTGTCTTTCTGCT